CCAAGTTGATCGCCGAGTAAGAGGGCGTACTGGCCTTGATCGCCGTCTTGATCGCACTGCTGCAAAGGCAACCAGAGAGGTCGAGAAGCACTCTCAGCAAGCAGAAAGGAAGATGAAGTGCCTTCACATCGCCTTCCTAAATGCATCGCTGTAACGATAGGCAAGGAGGCTAAGAAGCACTCTCAGCAAGCAAGGTGGCTTGCAAGCACCCCAAAAATTGCCTTCTATCATTAGACTCCTTGTAGAAACAGAGACGATGGGAAGAACTTCGCAGCCGGCCAAAGAATATTTCCTATATCTCCCATACCAAAGGTGGCATCAAGAAAGATGGCTAAGTGGGCAGATCAGATGATCCATTTCCATGGAGAACGAAAGCTTTCGATTGATTGTCAAAAATGCCAAGCAAATGGCAGCAAATTGGTTTTTTTTTTAAGAATAAAATGGAAATGAAGATGGGGAGTATGAAGTATACATGCATTTATAGGGGGTGAAGGTGAAAGACAGAATATAATGTGCATTTATAGTGGTGAAGGTGAAAAGACAGAATATGAGCAGCCATATTCGTGTCTAGTAAATGAGATTAAATGGCCCAAAATCGGGCAGAAATATCAAAAGAAAAAGTGCAAAATTTTTTTTTAGCATAAAGCAGTTAAGTGTTTGAGCGATTGACGATTAAAAGACGAACGTCAATAAATACACAAGAAGCTAAAATAGTTATTCATTGACAATGATGGCTGCTGTTATATCAGTACAAGGTTACAAAGGGAAAGTCAAACGTGAAATTACAAAAAGAAAAGTTAAGGCATTATATGTCTTAATTACAATCCGCCCCATACTGAACGAATTATTTCCCTAAGGTTCCTCCAATCCTCGTCCTGCCGAGAAGAAGTGATGTTCAATTCAGCCACAACATCATCATCAACTTCTAACTTCTTGTACTGCTCGACCAAAGACTTAGTTCGCTCAATTCCTTGAGAGGCATTACGCTTTTTAGCAGCCATTCTCGCCTTGCAGTCGTCCATCTTGGCTTGAAACTCCTTCATCTGAGCAGCCAAGCTAGTCATCAAAGAGTCTTCAATCATGACTTTGGAAGAGATTTCTTTCAACTCGTCCTCAGTTTTGTTGATCTCCAGAAGCAAAGACTCTTTTTCAGATATGGCGCGAAGATATTGAGTACTTTTGGCCTTTAGTTCAACATTCTTGGCCAGCAAAGAGAGGACCTCGAAATGGATAACTTTCAACGTTGCTTTAAAATCAGCAGAAAGATTGAGCAACGGAAATGTCAGTGCTTGCTCCAATTGTGCATTCAAATGCTCAAACTTATCCTTATGCCTGGCAGCACTAGCCTTACCGATGTCCATGTCTATGAAGGACACGTACTCAAATATCGATTGCTTGAGGAACTTCATATCGTCCTCTGAAGAAGCAGAAGGACAACTAGCCGAAGCAGGGCGATATGTTTTACCTTGTCCCCAGGCAGCGAACAAGTCTTGAATGGAACGTACAATTTTATCAGCATCCTGCAAAGAAAATCGCTGATATTGAAGGTTTCCACTACACTAAACAAAGTAGAGGTAAAGGTGAAGCAAAGATTACCTCATCAGCAATCTTGGAAGATGGCATATCTCCAGCCAAATCTGTCATCTGTGGATCCACCATTCGTGAGGACTTCCCCTTATCTAAACGAGAAGACCTTGCCGCAACGGGCAGACTTATGGGAACATCTGCAGAACTCAAAAGGCAACAAATCAACACCAATAGCACAAGCAAAGGTAAAGCATAAAAAAACGAATTACCTTCTGCTTCAATGTTTGGGAGGTCAACGCCCTGGAAAGAAGGTGGCTCGTCCATTGGTTGTGATAAAGATTCTGGGACTGAAGGTTTCTCTTTAAGCGTAGTCCCTTCATCAGCTGGTTTGGACGAAACAGCCCCAGCAGAGGATGATGGAGCAGGAGCTGCCAACACCAAAGCCTTCAAGGGAGAAGTTGAGCTTTTCTGAGAAGTCCAAATAAACTATCAGCACATGGAAAAGTCTCAAGTTTGGAAAAGTATAATTATGAGTAAACCAATTTAATTACCTTCCTCCTGACGATGAGAGGGGTATCATCATCATCATCCTCCAAAATGGGAGACGCTGAGGCTGGCCGTTTGCGGCTTGGGGCACTTTTAGCTGCAGTAGGCTTGGTAGGAAGAGAAGTCGATGGACGGACAGATTGTTTAGCACGAGCAGAGGAAGAAGGACTCCTAATGGACACAGGAGTGACCAAAACAGGAGAAGTGGAAGAAATGTTTGGCTGGTCTAGTAAATGGAAAGCACGATTGGCATCAGTCGCAAACAATCTGCGCTTCAATGACGGCCAGAGTCGTTCAAAAAGGGAATGGATGGCACGGCTAGGATTGAAGGGGGCTAATGAAAAATTGCTCATCAAAAGAAGATTGCGAGCATTTATAGCCTCTGCCTCCACTTTATTAATGGTATGGAAGCGGTCTATCAAATTCTTTGAATAGCAAGGGGAAACAAGCCAAGTTTGGCCAAAACCAAGTTGGCGAGCAAAAAATTGGAGAGCATATATTTCTACCCCAGCCTTGGCATTAGTCCCAGTCAAAATATCATGGAACAACTCCCTCCCGGTCGAAAACTGAATCCAAATGAACAGAGAGGTGCTTGCACTATCCATAGTGGATGGAGGTTGCAAGTAATCTGGAGTCAAAAAAGGAGGAAAAGGAAAGAAGGAAGAGATTGAATCCAAAGTATAAAAGAATGAAAAAATGTCCCTTCTGGACATATTTACAGGAGTCAGGGGCTCAATGGCAAGTCGTAGCAGCTAGCAAAAGGGCTGGAAAAAGATGAAGCACCAAGCGATGGAAAATAAACTCTCAACCACATTTGAGCGAACCAAAGAGGTCCACTGCCAGTGGGAGATGCAACATTCTTCAATTGGGATTGAAGAGAAGCCATGCCTCTATAGAGGGCAGCTAAAAAGAAAGAACATAAATTCAGAGGCCTACCACGCGCCAATTCGTGCGCTATGGGTAAATAACTCAGGGAGGGCTTTATACTTGACACACACAAAATGTATTTACAAAATCAAATCAAAAGAAAGGCCACTCGCTCAGTATGGGAAGACTCAGTGCTCAAGTGGTTATGAAGGGTTTGTAGGCTTGAATAAGAGTCGGTGAGGCCTTTAACAAATTTTGGGGCGCCACCAGAAATTAAAATACCAGGGAAAACGGTATCGCCCAAAGGTGGTGGCAGATTTACTAGGGCTCCAACACCCCTTAAGGTAATGGACATGGAACCGAGAGGAAAAATAAAAGTATTATACTCAGAAGACCAAAAACTTAAAGTGATTGGAAAAAGTATTGGGTCAAAAATAGGGGGTTGAAGAGAGATTTCTAACAAATCAGAAATCCTAGTATTATCAAAAATTACCTTAGTAGGACCATGGTCCATAAGGCGAGCATGCCATCTATGAAAAACAACATCAGATTTAGGCCAAGTGCGAATACCTCTTTCGCGAAGTGGCCACAACGGCAAAGAATTTAGAAACGGAGGGCCCTGAGTATAAGGGAACAGCTGACCGACCGCCGCTTGTTCGATGGCCTCAGCATTGTTGAATGAATGACCTAGATAGAACTCATTGAGTTCGATACTGGCCGGTGCAAGAAAGTTCGGAGTTACATATGGCCGAGTAAGGAGTTTTTGAAAGTCTTCGAAACTGAAGGAATCACAAGACTGAGATTGAGAAGCAGTCATTAAGGACGAAATAGAGTTTTACAGAGTTACGTAGCAGAGAAGCAAGGAAATGAACAGTAATATTGCAAGAGAGGCGTGATTTAGTGGTGCAATGAAATAACGTATTTGGGGGTTATAAGGGTTTGCAAACGTTGCACCTTTTCATGCTATGGAAGAAAACAATTATTGAAATTCTTAAGAATTTCGAATGTTACTGGAAAACACAAAGTGAATATGACAAAAATTAATAATTGGTATTAATTCTGCCATATTGGGGGGTAATTGTTGACACACAAAAAATTCAGCCTAAGTTGAATAGGCCAAGGAATGAAGCCCAATTAGAAGATCCCCAAAATCAAATAGCCCAAAAAACGACCTAGTCGGGCAATGTAGGATAAAGGCCCAAATAAGGAAGTCCATGAACGCGAAAATACCATCGCCTAGGGTTGCAAGTCGCCCAGCATCTTAGCAAATATAAGAAGTATGGTTACCCAAAAGTGCAGTTAATGAAGCAGTTATTGGGTAGTCCTATCACGTTTCACAATTCAAGGAATTCAATTGAAGACGGTTGAACGACAAAAATAATGGCAGCAATTAGATAAAGCAGTTCCATGACAAGTTGGCCACTACAAGGGAAGTGGGCAGTTATAGAGCGATTAAGCAGTTTTTTAAGCGGTTGATCACGAAGAAATCATTCAGGGAGTATAAAAGGAAGAAAAGACATAGAGCAAAAGACCCCGAATCAAACACTCTCAAACAGAGAATACGTAACTTTCAATTTTTTAGTTTAGATTTAAACACTTCTTTTACAGTAACTCGTGTGTTTGCACCCCTTGGAGGCATTCTGTTTTTATTTTTCAATTGTAAAATCATTGCCAATAAAAAACGCCCCTTTTTGGAACTTTGTCTCAAGAGGTTTGCCCCTTATACAATCGTCTGATCCCTTTTTAATTGTTAACGGCTAACCCGCGCGAAACACAATGGTTGGACAAAATTGCCCTTTTGTAAAAGAAATGTTGATTTAGGGATGCTTTTGTCAAAATTCAAATAATAAGTTCTAAATCCATCCGTAAGTGAAAACGATAGGGCTCATTGTTGCGAAACAGCTGTCCACAAACTCATCCTCGTTAAAAAATAAAAAATAAAGCTAGTTGCAAGTTGGGGATATATATATAAAAAAAATAAAAACAGCCGTCCACAAGTTTTTTTTAGCTCGCTCTCTTTAAAAAAAATAAATAAAAAAAATAAAAAAAATAAAAATAAATAAAAGTGGAGGAAAGATGCATTCCAATTTTATCTTCAATTTCAAATGACATTGAAATATACGACATCAAAAACAAAGACAAGAAAATAAGCATAAAAATTCATTTACAAACGCAGAGAATCAAAGTGTCTAAGCAGAAAAGAAACAGTTTGTAGCAGCAACACTGAATTGCGATTTAGGTGCCAAAATCTCCACTTTATCTTCTTCGTCGTCTACCTTTCGCAGCTTCATTTTGATCCAAGTAGAAGACCCTTCAAGTCTCTTACTCAAAATTGCCACACAAGAAAACATTTCCATGTCTTCTTCCCCTCTTTTCCTCGAATCCTTCACCCTCCTCTCATACTCCTCTGCTACCAACATAGCTATATCTGCCATGTCCTTAGTATTTGTTTGATCGAGTTGGGTTTTGTTTGCTGGTCTCACTGGGAGTATTTATATGGTACTGATAGAGAAATGGTAAGGTTGCCACACGTTTTATGGTGATACTACGTGCGAGCATTATTATAAAAAGCGGCGGCGGTTTGGGGAATTTCAATGGGCGACGGTCTACACGTGTTCAACGTTTTCAGCCTTTCCTCAATATTTGTCCAAAGTGTTTGCTGAGTTAAAGGTGCTTGATGTGAATTAGAATTAGAGTTTTTTTAGCATATTATAATAGAAGTTTTTAAAATTTGTGATTGAAAAGTCATAGAACTCATGAAATATGTGATTAATATCGATTGTTTGACTTTGACTTATATTAAATTCAAATTTTAATTTTAGCCAAATATGCACTTAACTACAAAATTTTTCATACTCGATAAGTTATTAATAGTCACGAGATGACAAAGTTTTTTCTTGCCACTAAGCTTACATAAGAAAAGAAGAGGCCTGGACTACCACTCTTGTCTATGCCCTTGGATAGAGCAGTTTTCTAGGTTACTACGGTCGAGAATCTACATTTCGGGATATGGTTACTTTAATATAAGGTCTTCGATTCTAATGCTAACAGATGCAAAGTAATAAAATTGATTTCAAGAAGTATCAATCAAGTCACAATCCAACAACCCTTTTACCATCCAGGACTTACTTCGAGGATTCGAACAAGTTTAAGTCAACAAATTTTCATATGAGTTCAAGTTCCTAGGTGAACTCATATGAACTTGAAACACTTGTACCGAAAAATATGCATGAAGTTTTTTAATTAAAATCTACTCTTTCTTATCTTCTGACGAACATGTCCTAAAAAAAAAAAAAAACAAACTTTCAATTAACTTTTTTTGTAAAGTAAGAAATGTCAGAAGCATAATTGTTTGTGTTAAAATGATTATAAGTTTCTTTTACCGTAGGTTAGAACACATGGCAAAAATTCAAAGAGGATTCATATCCACTCGATTTATCTAAAGCTGCATTAATATGGAAGGGGGAAAAAAAATGTCTGAGCCCGGGTTCGAACCGGGGACCTCTAGTGTGTGAGACTAGCGTGATAACCAACTACACCACCCAGACAATTGCGTCATGATATTAATTCATGAAATATTGTATGCAAATTTCATTTTGATACTCTAGCGATCAACAAAAAATTGTAAGAACTTCAAACCATCAAAGAAGGTTGGGATGGTCATTTTCATGGAAAAAGTTAATATCAAGATCATGAAAGAACTCTTAGTTCTGTATGAAAAATAAACTATATCTTGATAATGTAATTTAAGCAAACCTACATGATGCAAAGAGTCGTGGCACGAAAAATTGGAAAACCATTATATGTAATTGTAAGTCAGCACATTTCTTTATGTAGGAGCATCGTGATTGAGAACCAAATTAGTCACACACAAAAGGAAAACTAAAAAAATGAGATTTACCAATTAATCAATTGAAAAGTGTTGCATTATTAATTAATTGAGTTGTTTGTTAATAGGTCCGAATTAATTAATTAGACTAATTAATTAAATTAATTAATTCGTGGATATAATCTAATTAACTAGATTAATTAAATATTGGCCTGAATTAAGTTTAAAGACGGGCCAAGCCCATTTGAAATTTATTAATAAACTGCTAGGGTTTGAAAAATCGTAGAGAATATAATTCATATTTTTGCTAGAACAAGAAAAAAATCCTAATTCTCTTAATCTTATTTTCTACGTGGATTTTCATTGAAAGTTGAACAATTGGACAGCTGCGAATTGCAGATCATGATTGTTGGAGTTCAAAAAAAGTAAAGAAGTTTGCATAATTCAACAAAGGTATAACATTCTATCATAGTTTCTATATATCACAAAGAAGATCTTTGGTAATTGAAAATCTTGTTTAATTTTCGTTGAGCATGTTAAGTAAATTCCCAACAATAAAAACATATTTTGAAAGGGTTTTAGAAAATTCAATCTAAATCTATTCGTAGGTTTTTCTCGGAATTGGGCTTTGCATTTTGGGGTTTTGATCTTGATTTATGGTTTCATAATGATGACACTAATCAGCAGAGGTGGTGGTGGGGGAACAGAAAGGAGGAAAAAGAAGTGATTTTTATTTGTAATTATTTATTTGGGAATTAATTATTTATTTGTCCTTTCTTTTCTTTTCCTTTTCTTATGTTTAAATAGGAGATATATTTATCATTTCAATGTTTTTATTGAGAAATTTGATGAAAATGAAGTTTTGCGCAATCAAATGTGTAAGTAGGGCTAAAAATATCAAAAAATGAAAGGTATGACGTTTTTCACAATAATAATGAAAAGTAGGAACGTTTATATTCTAATTACACTGGAATATCACTCTTTAATTCATTATGTAATACTTGAAGTAAGTTGCATGTACAATTTGTCTATTTTCGAAATTATTGTTAGGAGAATCATGTTTGGTGTACACTTTCAATTTTGATAGTTTGCATTTGACAATTTATTTTAAAAAAAAGAAGAAAAAAAAAAACAATTTCCCTCCAACAACTTTTTAAACACAGAGGATGTTTAGCATGATGTATATTTGGAGTGTACAAATGACATTTCTCTTGTTAGGAACACTTCTATTGTTCGTTGCAATATTATCTCATTGGCCCGATCCGAAACACGTACTCATATTTGTCTTATGTTCATGAATTATTTATAAATATTAAAAATATTTTTTATTCATGCATTTCAAATAATTCACAAATATTACACACTTATCCATCACTCATTTTTAATATTTAATGTAATATATAAATAATGTGATATGTGTCGTTAGTATGTTAAGTTGATTAAATAAAGCAAAAATAAATTACCTATTGTTACTTTTTTTAAAGCATCATGAGTCAATATTCATTCGAAAAAAGCCCTCTGCACAGAGCCTATACAAGGGCTTTCACATGGAAGTGGACCCCACATATGGACCCTTCCACCCCCATGTGTGTGCATCTGTATAGGTCCTGTGCAAAAAAAGTTTGTACAGATAGCATAGTTCTATTCATAAGATCCACCCTCATATGTGTGTACATATATAGGCCCTAAGCAAAAAGGCCTATACAAGTAGCATAATTCTATTCATTAACCGTTTTGACAATGGAGTTTGGGCATAAAATAGTGAATGTTTAAATGCAATCATTGCATATTCACTTTAACAAATGCTAACCTTCTAGAATCATATGACACTCCGCCAATATATGAGATGCAACCCACAAGAATTTTGAGAAAGCCCCAAGTACAGCACCCACAATATTTATGGTGCCGCATTAACATTCAATTCTACGGGTTCCACCAACTACTACTTTTAGTTATATTCAATTTTAATGTATTAAAAAAAAAAAATAAAGATCCCACAATATTTTGTATTTAAAATGCAGGGTCAATTAAGGTTTAAAAAATTAGATTAACTCTAGACAGTATATAATAAAAAGAGTAAAATATGGTTAGCGATAAGACTAATTCAAGCTTCTAAAAGATCACAAGCGTAACTAGATATCAAAATCAAATTCGCGTCTAGACATGCTTGTTAGAACACATATTTTTAGGGGTAATTGGCGCAAAACGTCCCTACCTTTTAAGTGTATTGTGGAAAACGTCCCTACCTTTCACTTTCTTGACGCTGAACGTATTTTTCATCAATTTTTGACGATTTTACCCTCCATTCAAATAAAACAAAAAGAAAAGAAAGGAAAAAAAAATAAAAAACTAATTGCAACCACATTCCCAAATTTTCTAAAAATTGCAAATGGTAACTTGATAATTACCATATTAAATAAATTGAAAAAAAATCAAAAAATTAAGAAAAAAATTAAAAAAATGGGTTGTCTTCTTCACTCCACGCACCCCACCCCACCCCACCCCACCCCATTCTAACCTACCCTACTATTCATCTTCTTCTTTGTAAAAAAAAAATTAAGAAAGAGAGACAGAGAGAGACTTTTCCCCAAAATAATTATTTTCGTGCATAGCAAATCCTCCAAATTCGAAGCCCCATTACATCTCTCTGCACTTCCCCTCTTTGTATAAGCTCCTTCATTTTCATATCCAATATCAAATCTCATTGTGCTGAGAGATGTAATGGGGCTTCGGATTTGGAGGATTTGCTGTGCAGAGAGATTTTGTATGATAGGGTGGGGATGAATAGTAGCGTGGGGTGGGGTGCGTGGGGTGAACAAGACAACCCTTTTTTAATTTTTTTTTCTTAATTTTTTGATTTTTTTTCAATTTATTTAATATGGTAATTATCGAGTTACCATTTGCAATTTTTAGAAATTTTGGGAATGTGGTTGCAATTAGTTTTTTATTTTTTTTTCCTTTTTTTCTTTTTGTTTTATTTGAATGAAGGGTAAATTCGTCAAAAATTGATGAAAAGGACGTCCAGCGTCAAGAAAGTGGAAAGTAGGGACATTTAGTGCCAAAAAAATGAAAGGTATGAATGTGTTTCACAATACACTTGAAAGGTATGGACGTTTTGTGCCAATTACCCTATTTTTGGGGATGACAAAAAAATCCGTTCAACTCGATACCCTTAGGTCCCGGCCCCATGTGTTGCGGGGATTACCATCTAACTGGGTAAATGGGATGGATACTGAGTGAGGGTCATTGCCTTGAAGCGAAATGGGGTGGGTACGGGAAACATAGTCTCCGTCCTGCTACTTGCTCCCTTTAAAATTAATTTCAAATTTAAATTTTTATCAAACAAAAATAATATGTTTATCATCATGTTTAAAGAGAATATAAGTTGTTTTTAACAAATTGGTAAAAAAGTAATAATATTTATTAACTAAGGAGAGATAAATGGGGAAGGAGACCTGCCCTCCCCAACCCAATCTTGCTCTGAACCTGTCTCATCCCGCTTTAATCGGGTATGACTATGGGGTAAGATAACAAAAATACTCGACGGGATAGGAATGGGATAAGGCCAACCCATCCCATACCCGCCCCGTTGCCATCCCCACATATTTTAAGTATTTAATTTTCATCAATTAAATAAATTATCTTTTTATTTTGAAGTAAAAATAGTATTGTTTATTTTCAA